CTCTCTCCCACTCTCTCTAAAAATCAATGGGAAAAAATTCCTCAGGTGAGGATTAAAAAAATAAAATTACAACTAAATTATAGATCAGCAACCTTGAGAACCACCAGAAGACTAGCTGAACAGAACGCCTATAACTAAGGATATAAAAAAGACACGTTGAAACTGGTAGGAGGGATACAGATTCAAAATGGCCTGGTCGCACACCCATGTGTGGGGGTTGAGAATCAGGAGAAGTATCTCAGGTACGGAGGCTACCCCTGAGAAGCAAGAGGTCCCCACAACAGCTGGCTGTGAAAATCAGTGAAGATTAGACCCAGGCATGCTCTTAAACAGCCTGGGTACAGACTCACTTACAAACATTCGCCCTTAGCTCCAACAAAAGGGCAGCAGCTTGAAAAACACCAGGAACATACAGGGAAGAACTGAAATGTCTGGCTTCAGAACGAGGGCTACAGGGGCAGCTTTCTCCCAGACAGAAGTGCTGGCATTGTTACCACTGTTTCTTAGTTTAGCCCTCCCCCACACAGTGGGCACCATATCTAAGTCTCTATTAAGCCGAATAACACCTTTCTTCCTCATGATTCTCTGAGATCCTGCCCCACCCAACTCGTGCACCTCTTGAAGCTCTTTCAGAAACTGTTCCTCACAAGCGGCTAGCCTCTGCCTGTACTGCAGACTTCCCTAAAATCTCGCAAAGGTCTATAAGCCCCAAATAAGTAGCAGATGGCCTCAGTGTGCCTCTTGCTAAGTGGCCCCAAGCCTGGCACTGGTGGCAGCTAGCCTGGGGTTGCAGCATAGCCTTTCCTAGGCCCCTCCCAAGCCTAGCAAAGGCAGCTACCAACAACAGATAACTATGTACCTCCTACCAGGTAGCCCTGGACTAAGCACAAGCAGCAGCTGACTTTGGCAATTACCAGAGTTCCCCCTGAAAAGGCCCCAGAACCAACACATCTGGGGGCTGGCTTCAAACCAAACCAGAACAATACGCAATTAGCATTACAAACAATACACCTATAGCGTGAACTCGGCAGGCACCAGAGGTCAGACACATCAAATTCTGCTCTGAAGGATCACATTCCTGCACAAAAGCTGGTCAACTGTAGTCATGGCCAGTCCTCACAACCAGTCAGCCTCAGGGTCAATCCGACCCACTGATGTGTTAATAGCAATCAAGGCTCAACTAAAACAGGAGAGTACACAACCCACAAAAGTGACAACCCCACTGGAGCACCTGGCTCAAGTAAACAGAGAGGCTGTGCAACTGGGCCCCAGAGGACACCTACTACAAAAGGTGACTCTACAAGACTGGGTGACATAGCAGATGTACCTAACATACAGAAACAAACACAAGAAGGCAGCCAAAATGAAGAGACAAAGAAACATGTCTCAAATGATAGAAAAGGACAAAACTCCAGAAAAAGAGCTAAACAAAATGGAGGGGAGACAGGAACCAAGATGGTGGAGTAGGTAAATGCCTGTACTCACCGCCTCCCATAACCACATCAAAATGACAACTAAAATACAGAACCGCCACCGTTCAGAACCGCCTGAAAACTGGCTGAATCGAAGTCCTACTTTGAACTAGAGAAGTAAAGAAGAAAGCACACTGATTGGTAGGAGGGGCGGAGGCGCAGGATGGGCTGGTACAGCACCCATGTGTGATTTTTTTTAACTGGAAGGGAGATCATCTCTGCAGAGGCCACCCTTGAGGAGCAAAGGGTCCCAGCCCCACACCAGCCCCCCAGCCCAGGGTTCCAGAGCTGGGAAGATAAGTCCAGGCTGTAAAAATCAGTGGGGATTACGGCTGGAGGACACGGAGGCTGCCAGAGACCCATGTGTCCCTCTGAAAGGGCCAGCACATGAACTCACTCGGACTTGAACCCTCTGAGCCAAGAGGCGTTGGGGGACCCAGACACATACAGGGAAGAACTGGCATCAGGGCAAGAACTTGGGGGTGGTTTTCTCCCAGACGGGGGTGCTCACAGGGGTAGCACTGCTGACTGGCAGCCATATATGAGTCTCCATCAGCCCAGAGCATACTGGTTGCTACGCCCTGGTGATTCCCTGAGAGACTGCCCCATCGAATTTGCAGTCCCACCCAAGCTTTTTGCAGTAACTGTTCCATATGAATGGACTGTCCTGGCTCAGGCTTTAGACTTTACTAAAATCTCTCAAGCTGCAGCTGGTGTCAGCGTGACCAACCCTATCAATAAAAAGCCCAAGAACCAGCACTAGTACCAGTGTGCCTTGCTTCACAGGTGGGCCTCAATGATAGCCATCTGCAAATCCCTCAAAGTCAGTGGCTGACTTTGCACCTCCCTGGAGGTCCTAGAGCCTGTGAACCTGGTAGACAGCTTCAAACCATAACAGATTACACTTTACACATCCACAAGTGACACACTCAAGGGGCAGACTCAATGAGCACCAAAGCTCTACTGAAAGAAGTCCTGCTCCATAGGGGTGTTTCCTGCACAGCAGCTCTACCAGTGCAGTTGCAGCTGGTCCTCACAGCCAATTGGCTTGGAGGTCAATTCCTCCCAGTGACACCAACAGCAATCACAGCTCAACTACAACAAGACTGTGCACACAGCCCACACAGGAATGCACCAAGAGTACCCAACTCAGATGACTGAGGAGGCTGAGCCACTGGGCCCTACAGGACACATACTACACAAGGTCACCCTACCAATTCCAGGAGACATAGCAGCTCTACCTAATACATAGAAACAGAGGGAAGCAGCCAAAATGCAAAGACAAAGAAACATGTCACAAATAAAAGAAACGGAAAAAGCAAACTACTGGATACAGAGTTCAAAACTACAGTTATAAAGTTACTCAAGGATCTTCATGAGCACTTCCAGGGACTTGGTGAGACTTTCAGGTATGTTAGTGAGAATGTCAAAGACTGAAAAAGGACCAGTCAGAAATTAAGCATACAGTAACTGAAATAAAGAATAATTTACAGGGATTCAACAGTAGAGTAGATTTACATGGACCACCAGTGGCCCGCAGACCACCAGTTGGCGACTGCTGGAATAGAGGATTCCGAGAATCAAATCAACGATTTGAAATATGAGGAAGAAAAAAACACCCAATCAGAAGAGAAAAAAAAATCCAAAAATATGAAGATAGTGTAA